GAGGGGGAAGTGTGGGGGGACTCTGATCATGAAGCACTTACACAGATGAATACATCCACAGATGCTTGTTGTGTACCCTTTTGCATATGATCTTTTGGATTGAAATTGAATGTGCTGCTACTAACCAAGCAGAGCAAAACCTCACAATAATTTTATCCAACCGGAACCAGCAGGTTACTCTTCCATAGACAGAGTTATCCTCCTGTAGAGCAGGATAATCCTGTGTGGTATTGATTGTCATTACAACTGTTAGTTCCATTATTCATCAGTTACAGTGGAATCCCAAGTTACTGAACCCTTGATTTTGAATTGTCTTGATACAAAGGTAACTTAAGTGAACCAAACATCATTTCTCTTGGATTTGTTCCACTGTAAGTTTACTACTGATACTGGTTTTTCTTGGCAAGTCTAGAACTCAGGATTTCACGACACATGTACATTGTTGGAACATGTACACATGTACAGTTTACTGTACTGAGTAGTTTGTTGCACTTTAAGTGCCACTGTTTGTTTCACACATTTGCCTGTTTCCTGTAGAATGATCAGGTTGAGAAGACCCTGTCAATGTTATTGCATGAAGAGGAGGAATTTTCCAGTGAAACCTTAAGGTACTTGTACAATTTTTTCCAACTGCTTTGCCTTTGAAACTATCTTGTAGCAGCTGAGGGTTGTCAAAAATAGCCACACATCAACAAAAATTACGTTTATGATCTTGGCCTGCTACTTCACTTGGTTGTTCTTCTGATTCTTTAGAAAAGATGGCAAAATCAGCCACCCACTTTAACAATAAGGCCATCAACTTACATATTATACAGTACACTCTATTTAGGCTTGAATTTGAGAGTAGCTACAGTGTCAATAAAGCTAATATCTTTGAGTTAAGACCTGTGACCGTGACAGCCCAACTTACTTCCTTTAAACAGATGTACATGTACAGTAGATGTACTATCATACATTGTGTGGTTTTCGAAAATATCCATACCCCCACCAAGGCTGGTTGTTTGGTTTGTATCCCCCCTCCCCCCTGGAATTTCATTTAGTTTCATACTTTCCCTTTAAAAATTTGTCTTTTGAGACCCCCATTTCTTCGGAATTTCCACTGACCGTCCTTGGTGTGGGTATACAGAATTATTTTCTGGACCCAAACATTGTTTTGGTGAGCTGCAAACAATTAATTGCGTTCTTTTACTACAATTGTTTTACAGGAATGAAGTAGACTCTTTAGGCAAAGAGGTGCAAGTGATGAAGCAAAGACTTCAGAAGATGGTTTCACAAAGGAATAAGCTAAGGTGCTGTAAACTGGTAAAACTTAATTAATTGTTGACATTTTTTTAAAGGATACAATAATTAAAATGATAAGAATGCATGCAGCTTTCGAAAACAATAGCTTTACCTCCAAAGTAAAACTACTACATGTATACAAAATTTGTAGGTACAGCTGTACCTCAATGCTTGGGGCTATGCACAAACAACAATTATGTGTTCAGGATTAGACATGGTTAACTGGCCGCATAATTTTTTGAGTGCTGTGGTGCACAGTTTTGCACATTAATTTTCTGTGATCGTAGCAGCCAGGTCAAAAAGTTAATTTTTACAATATTATAATGATTGTAATCAATATAATATAGTCTGGTACTAAAACAAGTTATTTAAATACTTTTTTTCACTTTAAGGTGATGATGTTTAGATATATTAATATTTTTCTTTTGGTTAGAAGTGTTTAATGAAGCAATGAGAAAATTACATGTATAGAATGATAATCCTCAACAAAATAATAACTACTTGTAAAAGTATTTTAACAGAGAGATCTCAGTCTAACATTGTTTATGTTCTTTTGCATTATGTCAGTCTTCATCATACAGGCCTGACTCACAAGCTTTCAAAACTGAGTGCTGTGGTGCAGGAACAGAAACAAAAATACAAAGCCAGTCTTGAGTCCAGCCAAGCTGACAATACCCTGGTAAGTTTGCAAGATTAGCGTCATACAGTACACTCTATGTATGCCACAGTATGATGTATGTCAAACATAAAAATGTAGAGAGCCACCTTAACATAGTAGGAGCCCAAACAAACCATAGACCTGATTTGCTACATGTGTTCATAATTTTTATGTGATGTACATGTATATTAAAATTTAACAATATTGATTCCTACTTTAGCATGCATCATCAAGTTATTATGCATGTAGAAGTTTGGAGAGCACAACAAAGATGTGAAAGATGCTTGAGGTGCAACCAAGAACAACTTTAGCTTCTTGAGTGCTCTCCAAACTTCCCAAACTTGTGCATCTTAACTTAATGCTGCTTAGCTAAAAGCATGATTCTGTTGTTTTATAACAATGGCATTCATAGATTCGTCTTGCAAAGTGAAGTTAATGTTACCCATGCCATTAGTATGCATCATTGGATTATGATGCCTGCTTACACATACTGAGTTTGTTAGGGCTGCTTTGCTAGCTACTGTATCATGGTACACAATACATGTAAATGCTGCAGTTGTAGCTTCAGAATCCTTTGCGCACATTACATGCATACAATGCTATAAGATAATTTTGATCGTGTGTACTAAAGGCATCTGTGGTCGAGTGCTGATCGATATTGTCAATCGACAATCAATCGATATTCAATCAACATCCATTGACACCTCAGTTGACACTCAATTGCACTTTATCGACATCTTGGTCAATAGTCGGTCGATAGCCGACTAATTTTCAATAGATGCATATGAGTCAGTCAACACTTGGCCAACTATCGATCCACTGCTGATTGAGTGTCAACCGAGTATCGATTGGAATGTCGATCAAGTACCAATCAAGATGATGATCAAAGGTACAGTATCAATAGATGCCCGACTGTGGAAGCCATTAGTACACATGATCCAATTATTCTTGTTGTCTTTCATTTGCAGATGAATTCTGCTTTAGAGCAGTTGGAGGAATCTGTTTCTGAAATGATAGCGTTATATGCTGGTCGAGAAGGTATTTACTGTAAATGGAACTATATTTAAGAAATAGTAAACATGTACCATGTTTCTATCAAGTTATAGAAACACGAGTGGAAGTTTGGGAGAACTAGAAATGCTGCTTTTTCTAGTTCTCCCAAACTTTCACGAATGTTTCTTTAACTCGATAGAAACACAGAGAACATATATTCTATTTCTTTTAGAAAACACCGTGACAAAAAAAGGAAAACAACTTGTTAACTTTGATTATCAAAATGTAAATTCTCTTTGTTCACGTGGTCATTACGTCAAGAGCTCATGCTACATGTAGTTCTGTGTTTCTATGGAGTTATAGAAACACGATTTTTAACCAATCAGCGTGCGTATTTTCTTAAGACTGTTTTCTAAAGATACATATAGACAAATACTATGTAACCCAGGGTAACATGCCTATAATATGCATTGACAATTATGAGCTGCTAAGTTAATGGCAAAGTTACCTATTTTAGCTTACTCAAATCTCCAGGATAAAAATGAGTTGTACATCATTGTGATTAATACAGTAGATGAAAACAACTTGGTACATAGCATTTTTCCTTATCCAGAATGCCTGATCCCTTACCTTTTACATGAACGTTATCTAGTACATATTTTTTGCAGGTGCAGGCATTTCGACATCATTTTTGTCCCAGCTTCCCTATGACAGTTACTACACATCAGAGGAAAAGTTTACCGGTGAACTAACTGCATACACAAGGAAACAGTTCTTTGAGGTAAAAAGAAAGCCATCCCTTGAACTGAGAGAATTCATATCTTTGTATTGGTATAGGAAACCATACAATTTCAAGTGCAATTGATGTTTTGGAACCCGAAGTACTCAGAATTGGGAACTTTTAGATGTCACAAGTGTCTAGTATGAATCAAATTATTTTGTTCTGCATTGAGCAATATTTTTATACGATTTATTTTTTATCTTAAGTTTATTCAACAAAAAAAATACTAAATCTCCAGGCATTCCAACAGTCCATTTTCATTTTGGAACAATACATGTAAGCTTTAGAAATCCCAAGTTCATCTTCAGAATACTGTTGGTCAACTAAAGAAATGTTCGGAAGTGTTCAAGTCAACTTCAGAAATCTTTGAACAACTCTAGATAAACCTTTGGTGATTATATGAACACATATGGAAGCCAATGATTTCTTGGAATTGTTATATTATTTCAGGGTATTGCAGAGATGGCTGGGGGAGAAGAGAAATCGAGATATGAGCTGCTGGAAATCAGTGATCCCTCTACCCTTCTAGTTAGAGGTAGGAATTTTACCTAACTGTACCCTAGTTGTCAAGAGTGTATGTTATACAGCCTGTACAAGTTTGAGTTGTTGTATTCCCTAAACTTGCCTTAATTGTGTTATTAATATACACCAAGTACAATATTGGTGCATGTTCTCTACTTTTTTCATGGATTCTTATTGGTTTATTGATCACATGAAGTGATAGTATGCATCGGCGGAGAGACACTATCTGCCCACAGTGCCCATCTGAAGGAAATTCCAGGATGGATAGTACTCTTCCCTTGCATATTTGCCCTCAGAGCTTTGCTTCAGAGGCATGTATATTTGTTTTAACAACATCAAATTTCTGTGGGGCAACTATCAGCTGATAGTAGGATAGCCCTGGGAAAGTATGGTTCTTTGTGGAGACCAGTCTGTAATTGAGTTAAGCAGGGGTTTCATTAAGGGCTGCTGGGCGGGACACCAGACAAATTGACCGGCTGTGATGATGATTTCTTTGGCCTGGTTTAACCATCTATACTGTGGAAGAAAGTTTTGTAATAAAGAAGTTCAGTTTCAAGAGTTTTCCCGCCTGAGAAAACCAGTTGCTGTCATGCTGAAAACGTTATGAAACCCCTGGTTAAGGACTAACAGATCCAGAAAATTAACTCATTACAGCTACACCAAACATATTGAAGTTAGAACAAATTAAAATCTTAACACCCTTCTATGGTTTGGTCCTCTTTTCTTTTGTTTTTTTGTTTTTTTTCCATTAGGGGAGAATGATGAAGTTAATCTTAATGAATGTCAAGAGCTAGCAAGACTTCAGTCTGTGTAAGTTACTAATAGTAGGGCTCGAAAAATGGGTAAAATCAGATCAAATATCCCCACCTTAGCATAGCGTTGAAACATGATGCCCTGCAGGCTTCATCAACCTGGCATGCAAAATGCCCAGCGTGAACCGATATACTACAAGATTAATTGAAAAGAGGGGGTTGGAAAGTCACTCTACATCTGTCCTTGCCACTTGTCTTAGTGACTTTTCCCTTGTGCAACTGCTGGTCCATTTCTGGTTCTCTTTCTGCAACGCAACACTGCAAGAGTGCACATGTAGCATGATGTAACAAAGATAGGGCCAGAACTGGACCAGATACATGCACATGTACACTGTAACTGCAAGCTGTATCACGTGTCGGTCATCAACAATCTGCCTGATACCCGGCTTATGCTTTAGCTTTGCATCAAGTGAAAGTAAAAGAATTCATAGCATTGCGATGGCAACAGGAGTAACTACAGCACTCAAGACAGCTGAGGAACGACTGAAAAGCTTGTCATGGGAGACCAACCCACCAGGCACTGACATAATGAGGTGAGATACATCATAGTTAATAGAGGACAAAGATTGTCAAGTCCAGCAATGTTAATCTTTATTATTATGTTTTGTTCACTTTCTTAGCCTTGATCTAGTCCCGTTCTGGCCCTCTCTGTGCCATACACCTTTTTGCTCTTGGAAGAGAGGGACCCTATCCTGAGAGCGTAACTTTGTTTGACACAGAGAGAGCCAGAAGTGGACTTATTCTTCAGTGTGTCAAAACGTAACAGGTGTTTACTCTAACTTGTCTCAACATCTAATAAGTACATGTAGAAACATTTCAGGCACACAATTCATGCATAGTGTATCAATGCAAAACAAACAATTGTGCATGGTTGTAGACCTTCCAGCATAGCAATTAGCATCTTCTTTTACTTCTCTGACATTTGCTGGCTTCATGACCACTCCTCTTTATTGCATATGGACAAATATACCCCATAATATTAAGCAAAGCACATGACTGAAAGATGCAAGATCCTAGCCTTTTTTGGTGGGGGGGGNGGGGTGCAGGGGGTGGGCAACATTCTCTATTTTCATTGTGCCTCTTTGTGTAGTAAAACTTGCCAAACTGGTTTAGTGCAGCAGCTGAACTGAGTGACTGACTGACCAATTGGCTTGCTGTCACTGATTAATCAATAAAAATCAGACTTATTTATTAATCACAATCAAGTTTTTCAATTCACTTACTAGTATTTATAACCATTTTTTTTGCATTCAGTGCCAAACTCCTTGAAACTCAAAAAGCACTTTCCCAAGTCAAGATGGAGATAGGGGAGCTCACTGAGAAGGCCCTTCCTGGGTTAGTGCAGGAGCTGGGAGAGCTACAAGCGACAAGTATCCTAAAGGGTGATTATGACCTGAAGATAGCAAGGCAAGACTACTTTACATCCAAACAGGACCAGGTCAGTAGTTTCCACTTAGACTTACAATGTGTACCTAAGAAAATTGAATTAATGTCAGGAAAATGTCATGCAACTTGTGGACAGCCCTAGTGTAGAGTCCAGACTAAATGGTAGGAAAGACCTTTTTGGGTAAAAGAGGACAACCTTTTGATTCTATATTAATAGAATAATGAGTTTATCATAGTGACCATTTGTTGTTATCCTCTGTGTTTTTTCTCATTTTAGGTTATCACCCAACTTCTGCTTCAGCGGTCCCGGCACGAGTTTCTTTCCATGGCTCTTGAGGTTGAAGGGCGGAAAAATCGTGACACTCATCGCTTGTTTAGCACCTTGGAGAGCACACTAGGTGATGCGGTGAAGGGAATGGAAGCTCGCTCTGTATCCTTAAGATATTTAAAACTCTCAAAATAGATTCCAGTTTTTTTTAATTTGATCCCTCTAAACGCAGAGTGGCACAATTGCATAAGTGGACTCCTGCAAAATTTTCAACTTGCACCTATCTTTCATTACTACTTAATGACTGGCCGACCGACCAACTGACCAACTGACGGACTGATTGACGAACTGACTGATTGTCTGGCTGTCTGGCTGACTGACTGACTGATTGTCTGTCTGACTAACTGACTGACTGACTGACTGACTGACTGACTGACTGACTGACTGACTGACTGACTGAATGTCTGACTGACTGACTGACTGACTGACTGACTAACTGATTGGCTGGCTGTCTCACTGACTGACTGAAAGAGCAACCGACGGAATCTGTCTTGAGTAACAAGTGTATCGTTTACTAGATTTCTGCACTGAAATTATTGTACGCGTTCTTTTGTTGATATAACCTTAACTCTTACTGAAGGCGGTTATGGATGAACATGCTCTTCACCCTCCCCAGCCCTCTCGCGGGACTATCGATAGTCGAGATCATTTTATGGAAGGACTGTTCCGTGTGCTCGAAGGCCCACCCCAGGGGGAGGAGGACAGGACGAAGGAGATTTTTCTGGCTTACAATCAGCTTGTAGAATGGAGCCAGAAGCTGGCGGGACAACTGGAATCATTCGCTACGTCTTTGGCCTCCTCGGGCAGCAGGCAGGAGGAGGCCTGGAAACAATTGTATGTTCTTTTGCTATTGTTGTCGTTTTCTTCGCGATTTTGAGTTAGTGTTATTCAACTGGGAAGAAACCTTTCTTATTCAGTTACAATGCCGTATTGCAGAAATGCCTTTTGGAAGGATGTTTCTAAGTAATACGGGAACAGGTGCGGATTGAGGAGAACATGCATGTGTATTCTCGAGGGCTAAAGGTCATGTTTCACACGTCAAAAGGATGAGTATTAGAGTCAGGCGTTTGCAATAGGCATCACGCCCTGAAAGAATTCGATATTAACGTCACAATCAAAAAATTGTTAGCATTCTACAGACTCAAAATCAAACGAGGTTTGAACATTCTAAAGTTTAAAAAGTTTTCTTCCTTGCTCTATTGGGGTGAAATGATCAACATAGTATTGTGTATTGTAGCAACTATTCTTCTCAGTAGATTAGGGAAAACAATATCCTCGAAGCAAGTTTCTTTAATTTTGTGAATATTTGGTTTTTTAGGGAGAATAACTTACAGCAGTGTGTAAAGACAGTTTACGGAGAATCAGCTACAACAGGCGGCCTGCCTCAGTTAAGTCCTCAGGTAACACTGCTTCCCATTTCCACGAGCCATTCCCTCGCTTGTCCCACCAGCCTCCCCTCCGTCGATTTTCTGCCAGCGGGCGAGAAACTTTTATCGCTCGTACGAGAATGCTTCGCGCGAATTTCAAAAGGCTAGTTTTAAAAAAATGTTGTTTGATTTTGTCTTAGCTATAAAATACTGTTGAATCGAAGCTGCTGTGAAGAATAGAGTCTGTCACGGTTTGAATGGGTGAAATCCCTTCTCGTAACAAAAATTCGCTTACGTTTTTCTACAGCGGATAGCAGATGGCCTGAGTCAGTTAAATGAACTACTTGCCACTCTGGAGCAGTCAATTAAGGACATCATAAAAGACTGTGAGGCCAAGAAAAAGGTAAGGGCGTAATAAAATTAAGGTAGTCCACGTGATCAAACACGCGGAGATACGGTGGCCTCGTGGTTAGTGTGTTCGTCTCCGGAGTAAGCGGTCCGGGTTCGAGTCCTGGCCAGGAACATTGTGTTGTGTTCTTGGGAAAGACACTTTACTCTCACAGTGCCTCGCTCCACCCAGGTGTATAAATGGGTAGCGGCAAATGTAATGCTAGGGGGTAACCCTGCGATGGACTAGCATATCATCCAGGGGGAAGTTAGAAATACCCCTTGTCGCTTTATACTATTGAAACCAAGAGATAAACGCCGGCCTACCCTACCTTTTCTACGTAATCAAACCTGGGACACGTTTGCAGTTACCGCCAAACACCGTTCAATCGTTCAGTTGATTTTACCGCGTGTGCAGTTCCCGCCTAAACTACCGCTGCTTGCATTGTGGCACACGAACAGCATGTTTGCAGCTCAAGCCGAAACTGCCGTTGCCTACGCCGTTCAAATGTTTAGCGCGTTCGTACTGAGTTTTCGCCAAAACTGGTATTTCCACGCAGTGGTCAAGCGTATGGCGCGCCTGCAGTTCCCGCCAAAACTGCTTCGCCGGAGTTCTAGTGTTTGTCTGAAATTTAAGAGAAGCCATGCTAGTTCCCGAAAGGTTAAGCTAGATATGCAAAATATTCTTGAATAATTTAGTAATTTTTTTTACGCACCTTGCCGCCTTATTTTGGTTTACTGCGGTTTTTTTTCTTTTTACGTGTTTATTTCAACTGAGCTTTTTTTGCTTTACACTTCAATGCAATAGAAACCCGAAGTGTTGTCACGTTTTTACGCTCGATCGCTGATTTTGACGGCTCACTTTTTCGTCTTCAGGTCCTCCGCTCGGATAGTTTGAAGCTCATGGAAAGAGAACTGTTTATATATTTCTTCACGGATCCACCTCGCCTCAAACGAGCCATCGCTGAGTTGTCAGCTCGTGTGGACGCGCAAATTGTTTCACTAAAGTGAAAGATGTGGGTTTCTTCTATAATAAAACGAACTCTGGTGTTGGTTTTCAGGATTTTTTCTCAAAAACTGAGTCGTGCTTTGAAACACATATTTCTACAAACTGAATCTTGAAGTCTGGAAAAATTATCAAAATCATCTGTATAGTTTGCAGACCTAGTCGAAGTCGAAAATGAAGTTCAAATCTTGAAAAAGACTGGAACCTTACCTAAGCCACAAATTTGCTGTTGCTTGAGCTGGGCAAATTTGTCAGGGTTTGTCCACACTTTGAATGTCCTCGAATTGTAAAATCAAAATTTAAGTTCTTGAAAAGCCTTGAAGTTCATACATACCGAATCTGGAAGCTTAAGTCTGGAAAAATTGTAAAAAAATCATTTCAATAGTTTTCCAGAGCACAGATCTGGAAAGGGTCTGGAATTTCTTACAGGCTACAAGTTTGCTGCTGAGGTAGCTTGGCAAATTTCCCAAGGTTTGCACGCACCTTGAAAGTCGGTTTGAATTTTGACATCAAAATTCAAGGCTGTGAGAGTTCATTGGGCCCTTGAAACACCTTAAAATTATTTGTTAGACCGTTTGGCTACTTATTAGGAGACAAAACGTGCGTGCATGCATTGCCTACAAAAAGGAAACGATCTTGTTTCTTCCCTAATCGCCATCACGAAATTTCAGAAAAGAAGATTTATAAAAGACACTTTAACTTGAACAAAACTGCTAGGTATCCATTAAACCTTAACATCCTGTGTCACATTGTAATGTAGTTTTTCAGCGAACGGAATCTTTGAGAAACTGAGATTGTGTCCTTGAATGTCTTTGAAAAGTCCTTGAATGTTTAGTCCGAAAAACAGTACGAAGCCTGAATTTTATACCCAGTAGCCCTTCAGAGCAGTTAAAAGAGGACCATATTTTTTGCTTGTGACAGGGATTTGATTCATATGACTAAACTACTTCATCCTATACCCCATGACCTGTAATATGACATTCCCTGAGTATCTTTGGGTGAAGCGTGAATTTGGTTCGCATTCATCGATTGGGGTACACCAATAACTATACAATAATCAGGCTGGTTATTATGCTTGTTCTCTTTATTTATCAATTCTAGATAACAACTTACATGTACATTTCAACAGGTAGAATAAGATACACAGACATTCGCATATACACAAGAAGCACATTTTTCTACAAATGCTGACATCAGAAATGGACTTTGAAATTTACAATGACCTCTAGCAACTAGTTTACGGTCTCGTACCCAGCCTTCCTCGCTCATTATAAGAGCGGCTTTGGTAAAATCCACTTGAGATTGTGTCAGAATGTGACAAAACGCGACAGAGCATGTACAATTTAACACAAATCGCACTCTCGTTGGATCTAGTTTTAGCATAGCCAGATTAGCAATGAAAATGTATGATCTCAGATTTTCTCTAGCTAGCATTGAAAAGGGCAATACACAACTTAATTCTACTAATTCTATTCTATATTTTTCCAGGCATTATTTCCATTTCTCTCTATGTACAAAATAGCATTCCATGGTATATTTTGGCATAACGAAGTTTTTTTTTCTGGAATGTAGATTTGAATATTAAATATTTTCACATGTTTGTATAACAACACAGCTTACGATAAAGAAGGCAGTAGTCATGCGAGGCAATTTAGGGCAGAAACTACAAAATTGCCTGAAATTGCCTCGCATACATGTTAGATTATATTGTAATGCAAATGACAAAAGTTAATCGCGAAAAAGGCTATTTCGGGTACGTCTACGAGTTTCTAGACCGCAGTGCAGGCGTTTATTGGCGCGCGAGTGCTGCACATTATCATGTTAAGGCGCCATTTTGGATTTCGTAATTGTGGAGGGTTGGGGCGAGGGAAAATTTTCCGAGGGGGTAGGTGTAAAATGGGGAAGGGGGAGGGGAAGGAAATCTTTCAACTTTCCCACCCCAACATACTATACTGCACATTAGTTAAGGGGGTTGTCTTGCACACTTTGCTTGCTTACTGCAATGTATTGACTTGAACCCTTTCTTTTACTACTTCCTGTTTAGATTACGACTTGCGTTTACTGAACTTGTCACATTTGGACTTAGCTAAACATGAGGAAGGAAATAGAAAAAAATGTGCTGTATTTCTATCGAGTTTCAGGAACACGAATGGAAGTTTGGGAGAACAAGCAATGCTGTGGGAACACGAGCCAAGAGGCGAGTGTTTCCACAGCGTTTTCGAGTTCTCCCGAACTTCCACGACGTTTTAACTCGATATAAACACGGAGAACATGTTTACTATTTCTTCTAGAAAATTCTGCAACGAAAAAAGAAAACAACTTGCTTGCTTTGTTCATCAAAATGTAAATTATCTTTGCTCGCTTGCTCTAATTAACATGTTATAGGTATATTTATTGTAATAAAAATGTTGGAAAAAAAATCTTTGCTCGCGCCATCATTACGTCAACAGCTCGTGGCTAGTTCTGTGTTTCTATCGAGTTATAGCAACACGATTTTAAACCAATCACCGACTGTGTGGAAGGCTATAGCCTCCATTCCTGTTGGAGAAAATGGAATATTCTTCCGGCCACTATCTTGTATCACTGAGTGATTGATTAATGTCCTCATAGTTCTTCCAAACTTGACATCTACTATCATGTATTTCTTTCTAAAGATCTGCAGTTGCCGTTGACAAATCCTAATTGGCTATAACCACCCAGTACACAAGATTAAACAACATAAACGCTGAAGGAAACAGAATTCTGCAAAAATTGTTTATCACCATTCCCAAGTTTTCCTTTGTGACTTGTACTGGTAGCCCGCAAAGCTTCTTGGGAAAGCGCGGCTTCAGGATACTTCTTTTTTTGAGACCGGACACGCTACGAACTATGGGATACACGGCTCCCTGGGAATCTGCCACGTAGTAGGAAACGCGGCTACGAATCTCCGGCTCCTCGGGTAACTAGAAATATGAGAATAACATACAGTTACAGTAACATTAAATTCCACTAATCCCAGGTTAGGCTTGCCCACAAGGCGAGCCCTCAAAGCTGAACTCGGAGCGAGACGAACCTAAGGAAAAGAAACGTAAGCTTGCGCTCGTCTCCAGGGCAGCCTGTCGCTCTAAGCAG